CTACTTCAAACCACTTAAATCCTACTTTCTGTATTAAATAAAATCACTTTTTTACTTATTAATTAACTCAGAGTATGTATTAATACCTGGGGGAGCAAACAACTGTGCATATCTCTCTATCAGTGTTATAGAGGGCGAACAATTTATGAGTTTACCCTGCATAAGCTTTATACAGGGTAAAATGGATTTATTTGGGTTTAGACCCTATTGGGAATTGGGCATCTGAGTGCTAAAGACAAGCACACTTCTGTGAGCTGTTTTCAGGTAAACCTGCAGCTTTGGGGCAAATAATTCAGACCCTGGGTCTTTGTTGGAGCAGAGGGGAGAGTCTGGTTCAGCAAGACAGGGTGCTGGAGTCCTGAGCTGGCAGGGAAAACAGGAGCAAGGGTAGTCTTTGCACATTGGGTGGCAGCTCCCAAGGGGGTTTCTGTGATCCAACCCGTCACACAGGGTTTTGGCAATAAGTACAGAGAAATGACAGATTTTAAATTCTGCAAGGATTGATCGGAACATGAAACAAGTGCTCACAGAACATTCCAGTGATTGTGGAATTGTGCAAGAAGAAACAAGACTTTTTTTAGAATTATTTAGAAAGTTTATTTTTGAAGCAACAATATGAGGGACGGAAATGAAGGAAAAGTCTATATTTTGCAGCATGTAGTTGGTGCTAATCAGCACTCAACAATGTTTCCCTACAGAAATGCTCCAATAGTTCATTCTTCTCACTGCACTTTTACATTTTAATGGATGTGAAGTCCACAGAATAGTAAATAATTACTTTGTGTTGGTGCTGCTGCCGGCAAAACTGTGAAGTCCCTGCACACTAGTTCAGTAAGTCAGTTTCATGCTTGGATAAATTAACAATAACATTACCCTAAATCCTCTTGCAAATAAATTAAACTGCTCCCTTTCAGTTACAGCCAGGGTGGCCAAAATGCAGCCTATGGAGTTCTACAAAGCAGCTCCAGGCTGCTTGGCTGGAGATGGAGCATCACATGCTGGGAGCTGTAATCTCCTAAATGGGTTAGCACTTTCGTGTTTGGAGTTTGTCTAGTGGGACCATGGTATGTGTTATGGTATTGAGAAGTAATGCTGTGTCACTAGGCCGCCTCAAAACAGCAACAAGCTACTACCTGGTGACAAGTCAGGACAAGACAGTCTTCTGGTTCCAAAAGCTGAGTGGAGTGCTAAGTGGGGGCGGCCTGGGAGTGGTGCTAGATGGATGCATGCACAGGCTTTTCCTTCTTTAAGACAGGGAGCGCTGCCAACTCTTGTGATTTTTATCATGGATCTCAGGATATTTGGTGTTTTCCTTTAAAGCCCCAGCTCTTGAAGTTGTGAGCGTTTGTTTTTATCAAATTAGAGTGTTTTTAGCCCTATTCATTGCCGGGGATAAAACTTGAGAAGACAAAGTAGGGTCTCAAGACCCAGCGGGCAAATACAAGGACCCCCAAACTGCTTATTTTCTTGGCAGCTCATGATTTGAACCCAATGGTAAGTGTGATGGAGGGAAGGGGGGCTCCTGGCTTTTGAATGCCTGGGGTTGGCAAGAGGCCTGTGCTCTGAGGGGTGGCAGGCAACAAGTCACCAAGCTGGGAAGTCAGTGAAGCTGTTAATGTGTGTGTGGCGGGGGTGGGGGGCTGGTCGGCATGAAAACAGCCAGCCCCAGCAGCTCACGTTACCCGCCCGCAGGCAGGCAGCAGGACGAGCGGCCTCGGGCCACAGGGCCCCGCCGCGTGTGAGGTGAGCTCCGCGCGTGGGGGTGGGGGCTCGGAAACCAACCAGCCCGGCCCGGCGCAGCCCAGCTCGGCCCGCCCCGGTCCCGGCAGCGCCGCCTCCTGCCCCTCCCGCCTCACACACAGACGCTTCCTGCGCGGGGCCGGGCGCAGCGGGGTCGCGGCGGCTGCTGAGTTAAAGGTACGGGGGCCGGCCTGGCGCGGCTGCAGGGGCCCCTGCTGCCCGGGGAACTGTCCTGACGCGGCCTCCGCGGCGTGCCCGGCAGGGAGCCGCCCGAAGCGCCGGGGAGGCGCGGGCGGAACCGCCTCTGGGCAGGGCCCCTCGGACCGGGCCGGGGTCGGTGAGTGAGAGGCTGGGCAGGTAGCGCGTCCCCAGGCCCCGGCTGGGATCCCGCTGCCCCCGGGCGCTGGCAGCGGAGCAGCGTCCTGGCAGCCGGAGGCGGCGGCGGCTCCTCACATTACTGGCGGGTGAAGTCATCGTGTCCATTGTCTCCCGTCAGCTCCCGGCCGGGCCGCCAGCGGGGGGAGTCCGGGCTGCGGCGCCAAGGGGGGCGCGTCCCCCTCCCTCGCCGCACACAGCCGGGAGCTCTGCCAGGGCCGAGCTGGGGGCGCTGTGGCCCCGCACGGGGTGGGTCAGGGTCTGCTAGCGGGGGGCGAGGGGGCCTGGGAATGGCCAGCGGGTGGGGAGATGTGGCCAGCCCCGATTTGCCGTTAATCCCCAGGCGGAGAGAGAGACCCCGATTCTTTTGGGGAGCCTGTAGCACCCCCACCTAGAAATGGGTCTGGAGCAGCGACTAACACGCCTCTTGAATTGGACCTTAAAAGTAACCCCGGGTGGAGAGCGGAAGAGAGACTAATGCCCCACCACAAGAGACTGGATTACATCTACTTAAGACCTATCTATCATACACCACTGGCACGGTGGTGTAATGGGGGCAGTGCTAGTGTAGACAAGCCTCCAGGCGCTGCTGCTGCTGGCATGTTTAACATGTAGACCTGTTTGGAGTGTGGTTACGTGGCTAATGCCCCGTGGTGCCTTGTCAACACTAGCATTTTTACCAGTGGGTTTGCACTGGTGATAATGTAGGAGTGGAAGATTTTTCCAAAAAAAGTCTGGTGTGGACATAGCCATAGAGCCCTAAAATTAGTGGGTGAGGGTGTGGTTGGGGTAGGAAAATAGAGCTGGAAACACAAACAACCTTAAAATTAAATATCCAGGTAGGAATTCTGAGACCCAAACAAATGAATGAGAGACCTGAACCAGTGCAGGTCTGAAGGCGGGATCCCCTGGGGCTCCACCCATAAATAAGAACATAAGGGGCAGTTCTGCTTGAGGGAGCCTCCTATGTCTTTCGCTTATGTTTTAAGAAGCGAGATGTAGAACGCTAGTATCTGCATGGAGCAAACAAGCAGGGGAGGAGATTGGCATTGGTATTCTTGAGGATTCTTAATACAATATTTCCACATGGTGGGCACAACAGCTTTCATTTCTATTAATGTTTTAGCGGGCATTGGTTTTGATTAGTGTTTTATATCATTTTTACTCAAAATGTGATGCTAATCATCACCAAGGTCAAAATTTTGAAAAGGGCAAAGTGTATTTGAGGAGTGGGGAATTGCAGGGCTGAATGCTGCAGATATGTCTAATCAGAACCTTAGATTTTCTTATTTTATTTCCCTGGATATTTTTCTTTTGTCCCACCTACCTCCAAATAAAGCTTCTAAAACTTTATTGCCAGTGGAAATGCTGGATTTCAGCATATGTTGAGCTACTTTTCACTTTGTCCACTGCAAAGGAAGGTTTTCAGTTTAATATTATGATTGAGAATGAAGTGTTTTTTTTATTCACTTTTTTCAAGAGATCTGTTTATCAACTGACTTGTGGATCTAATTGGAGGGATCCAAATGGGAGTAAAATATAAAATGGAAATTGCACTAACTGGCAAAATTCATTTGCATCTACAGAAATGGTGATGGCCTTATGTGACTGAACTGTTTTGCTAAATTTTGCTCCTGTTGAGCTGTGAAACTGTTTGAAAGTGTAAATACAATTAAAAATCAGGAAAACATGTAGGCATTTTGTTTTCAGTATTCCCTGAAAATTAGTGCTGTTTTGCATTTTATTCAGATTGGAAAATGAAAATAAACTGGTCAGTTTCACTTTCTCTTGCACAGGCAGTAATGCTGCTGCTCTTTGGGACTACAGTTCTACAGAAAAAGGCTTACGGTTTAAAAAAAATACATTAGTCTTGAAATTAGAAAAATCTGGCAAACATTTCTAATGTTTTATCAAACCCTTTTATTTTTGAACAAAATATAAATATTAAGGTAAAAAGTAGTTGTCGCTTTTAAATGATTTGAAGTCTAGTGCCTGGCTCAAGCTCTCTGCATTTCCAGCCATTTTTAGCTTTGCAGAAATGAGGATAGGTTTGATCATTAATTCTAAAAGTGTGAACTGAAAAATAACTGTCTTATATGCAAAATGGCAGAACTTGTATGCAAGAGTCATCAGAATTCTTAAATTTCTATTTAGTGATGACAGCAGTGGATCAGGAAGAGGGAAGGTATTTGACAGATGTAAATGTGTACTTTTATGAAGTATGTCCATCTTACCCTCTGAGTTAACAAAATGTTATGACTGCTTCCTATCTTATTTGTCCAGTAAGTAGGTTGCTCTACCATACATCTTATGATCCACTCCCCAACCCCCCTTTTACCCTGTTGTGGTGACCACCACAATGCTTTTGTGGGCAGGACATCTGAATCCTTTTTTAATACTAAAAAAATCCTGCTTTGAGGCTAGTGACAAAGGGCTGTGAGCTTTCAAGCACAGCAACTTACTTTTTTTTTTTTTGCACCCATATCCTCTTATGCCCAAGTGCAATGTCTCTGATATGCTGTTAATTTACTCTGGCCCTCGTCAAAGGTCCAGAAATCATTCTCTAACTTGCACCCTGAATTATAATGCAGTATGCTGTTGATAAGTCACCAGATTTTGGAGAAGAATTTTTAATAATTAAAACAGGAGCATAGACCCACAAGCACTTAAATCCCAAAGTGTTTGGTCTGACTCCTAATCTGTAAGAGGAGCCAAGATTCAAACTGATTCTTGCTTACGGTTAATAAAAGTTCTTCAGAGGACCAGTTCTAATGTTCATGTTTATGGTTGTTGACTCATAAGGGAGCTAACTTCAATTTTTCTTTCCCTCTGCATTTATTCCAGCTGTAAGTTTCCAGTGTCACTTCTGCATTAGCTGATGGAAGGTGTGTAACTGTGGATGAACCAATGCATGTGCACAACTTCAAGATAAGACTGGTGGTGTATGTTGTATTGCTAAGTACAACTGACTTGCACATGGAGATAAATTTCCACCAAGAAGGTAACCAGACGCTTTGTTTTGTTTTTCAGTGACTTGTGATGCATGTTTTTATTTTCTATACTAAGAGGCTACATACATACCTAGTAGAATACAAATTTTTCAATACATCTAATTAGTGGCAGGCAGAAGGTGACTTTTTTTCTTTGACTCATTAGATTTATATGCGATTTGCCTTCTTGATACTCAGTCTTCCATGATGTATGTATGTGTGTGTGTGTGTGTGTGTGTTTTGTTGTTGTTTTTAAATTATTAATCTTGAGTGAGGACATTTGCAAGAAAAACACGAGATATGGCGATCTCTTGTTTCATTTGTAGATTTCCATTAGTCTGTGCCATACAATAAACTAAAAATATAAAAATGGGAAAAAATCAATAGCCATATAAGTACTAATCACTTATCAAATACAGATAAATGACCCAGCCTAGGATCTTCCAAACTAAAGACCATTGCTAAAAAGAATACAATTATGATCCCATATAGCCACTACCCTCAGTACTTTCCTTATCAGAAGGGGAAGATTAGCAACATTATTAAAATGTAGCTAAGTTCTGGTGATCTATAAAGTTTTCAGTGAAAACAGTTAACTTCTGAACATTTTTTTTGAGCAGACAGATATTTTCATTAATTTTCTGTAGCAATGTAGTATATATATATATATAGATTCTGTGGTAACATGTTAGTCTGTTGATTTTTATTTTTTCATCTGATCACTTCTAAATTCTAATTTCTGTGATCACCTACCACCATTACACACACACTTTTTTTTTCTCCTCAGAGAGGTAGCAGCTAATCTAAATGAAGAGTTTTTTTTTGTGTCTGGAGAGGTCAGTCATTCTTTCCTCAGTAACTTGTATTTTTGGCAGTTCTTGTGCACCATGTCATAGTTTTTACTTTCAAAATGGTGCTTCAATAGCACTCTGCATATTTTTTTTTCTTTTAATGAAGCACCACTCTTTCATTTTTTGGCTCAAAAAACTAAAAGAAAGAAGTAGAAGACTTCCAAAGAGAACCATAAATGCATTGTGTATAAGTAGTATGTTACAGGCCTTGATTACAGGCTCGTTTGTGGCATTTACACTCAGACTGCTGTTCAGAGGAACCTCCTTAGTTTCCCACTGAGCCCAGTTTCTGTACTATCACAGACTGCTCCTTAAGAGAAGCCACTGAGCCCACACATTCCTTAGCTGAGGTATTGGAAGGGCAAAAATCCCACTTCGATCCTTTGCAGCATTAGTTGGATGTGAGATAGGAGAGGCCTGGTGTGATTTCATACCTGAATGAAGCTTTCCCAGCAATCAAGGTGGAGCTTTGACTCTAATCCCTTTACTTGACTTTCCCAGAAGGTGCAATATACTTCAAAGGAAGTCACAAACCCCACCTTCAACTAAAAGGTTTGTTCTTGGACTCAGAAAAGGCTAAAATGCTTCCATTCCTTCAGCCCTTTTCAAAGAATGGGAAAGTTTACAGCAGGGGTCGGCAACCTTCCAGAAGTGCTGTGCTGAGTCTTCATGTATTCACTCTAATTTAAGATTTTGCGTGCTGGTAATACATTTTAACATTTTTAGAAGGTCTCGTTCTATAAATCTATGATATATAACTCAACTATTGTTGTATGTAAAGTAAATAAGGTTTTTAAAATGTTTAAGAAGCTTCATTTAAAATTAAATTAAAATGCAGAGCCCCCCGGATCGGTGGCCAGGACCCGGGCAGTGTGAGTGCCACTGAAAACCAACTCGCATGCCGCCTTCAACACCCATGCCATAGGTTGCCTACCCCTGGTTTACAGTGACCCTCCCTCTAATATATAAGCTAAGGATTCCTCTCAAAGGATTGCCTGCTGCAGGACTAGTACTCTCTTGTTAGACAAGTAGCTAAAACACTGCACACTGCCCTCTACAAATTGAAAATAGCTATAAAAGGATTTTTTTCGGAAGAATGAATATCAGTACAAATTCTTACAGGTTCACTCAACTCTTGGCTATTACCTTATGCTGGAAATCTCCTGATGTAAAAATTGTGTTTTAAGCATGCTTTTGGCTAGAACATGTGTAACGTGGCTAACAGGAATTCTAATAAGTGTACGCAGGTGCTTCTTCATGTTCTACAACATCCTCTCTCTGGAGGCCGGTGTATCCCTAAAGTGTTACCTGTAAACTCTAGGGCACCCCACCTTTACCCTTCCGTGGGCTCAAGGTGTAATCTAGTTAATTTAGGCACTCTCTCTTTCTTCCCCCCCATTTCCTAGGGCTCTGGGAAAAAGGCACCTACTATTACCCTGTTCCAAAGGCTCAGGGCCATCCTTACCCAGTTCTTAGGGCTCAAGGTATAGTATTCTGTGGGCTTGTGGGGCCTTTTACCAGTGAAAGAGCCTTACACAGTAATATCCTTAGCTTCTATTTATTAACAGTTACCAAAAGAGAATGCACACGCTAAGCATATAATGCTCACCACTCCCGATAAGGCAGATGAACTTTTCCTAGTGGCCAGTCAGGATCAGGTCATCTGGGGACTCCAGCTTCTGCATGATATAGTTGGCAGGGTGTTGAGGTCTGGCAGCTCTGATCTTGGATTGTGTCCTGGAGTTGGTTCCAAAGAACTTCCTTTTGGACCCCAGTTTATGTAGTTAAACTTGAGTCCTGCTTAGCTATACGTTAGCCAATAATTTTGAACTAAAGTATTACAAAACAGTATTTTTAACCAATCCTAGCCCATTACGAAACAGTTCTTTATCCAATCATACCCCACCACTTTAGTTGATATAAATCTTGCAAAATTAATTATGCAACAGACAGAAACCATACAGATAAACAATAGAGAAGTAGGGACCATACAAATAAAACAATAAAGAACTATAGATTCCACATTCACAACTTTGATAAGTGGTTCCTTGCCCGACAGAATGCTATTTAAAGAAAACTTTGTTTGATATCTTAAGATTTGTTTCTTTATCTGGTGATGGTGGGTACTATTGGGACAGGAGCGCCTTCTTAACAGCCTGATATTTAATTGTTTTAATGTAATTTAGATGGAATGTGAGAATGAGACTTTCTGCTTCTTGGCTCATGGCTGCCACTGTCCTAATGTGGCTGCAGAAAAAAGGTTTCAAACCTTAAAAACATGTCTTCAAAAAGAAAATTGAAGAGTGAAGAAAATTTTCAAAAGGAAAACTGAAAATCCATCAGGGATGGGGAGGATAGCTCAGTGGTTTGAACATTGGCCTGCTAGACCCTGGGTTGTGAGTTCAACCTTTGAGGGGGCCACTTGGGGATATGGGGCAAAAATTGGTTGGATTATTTAATTGGGGATTGGTCCTGCTTTGAGCAGGCGATGGGACTAGATGATCTCCTGAGGTCCCTTCCAACCCTGATAATCTATGATCAGGAATTATGAGTTTGCTGCAGCTCTGCTTATCATAGCTGATTGTTCCTGTATATTTTCTAAGCGGTTCTTCGTAGACATACACTTCATTTTATCCAAATAATCTAGAAAATACTCTATAAAACACCTAGTGGCTTTTTAATATGTTAATTGTCATAACTCTGGACTTTCTAAAGCTGCCAAACAATGTTATGGCCATCTCATTTGTAGTCCACTGGATTTTCCGGCACATGGGGGATGGAGCTTTTCTTTTAAGCTAAAGTTCATTGCCCTTTCCTTCAGTAGTCCCACATATTTTGTGGAGGAACTAGACTATGCCCTCAAGGCTGTTTCTGTGGAATTCTCTCATTTTGTCCTTTTCACAAGTCATCAGTGACACCAGTGTTTTTGTTTTTTTAATAAGTATCAATTTTAGCAGTCGACCACTTAATCAGATGATTTAATTGAGAGTAGATTGGCTGTTTTGATAGAATCTGGGCAAAAATTATTTCAAGTCAGTGATGCCTTCTAGTTTTGAAGAAAAGGTACTTTACAGAATTTGACACTTTTTTTCCAAAACAGGGAAAACTTCCTTAACTGCCAAAGCTCCAAGACATCAGCACAGCCATGTTCCTGTTTCCATACGAGTGGTTCCTAGGAGCCACCTTTACCCTATTTAATTTTTGGAGAGAAAGCTTTCAAGGTGAATTATAATGGTTGTGAACCTCAAATAGATCATTTTATTAAAGACTAGAGGTTCGGGCTGGAAACTCTGTACCAGGTGAACATTGGTTACTGAACATGGGGATTTTATAGTGCCTATCAACTTAAGGGAAGTTTACTGTCATGTTTCTATTATTACAGCACCAGTGTTACCTAAAGTATGGTATATCAGTAGTATTTTATTATTATTATTATTATTATTATTTTTAATTCCCTCCCTCCCCTTTAGACACTCATCAGTCTGCAGAACCTTAACCACAATCATGATGATGAAAGTAGTAGCCCTTCAAAAATGGGAGAGGTTGATGGGGCCCTACCTAGACACTTTGCTCATCGAGTTCCCTTTCTGTGAAGGAATAGAAGGACGCAGAACTTTCAGTATATTCTAGTTAATTAGCTTAGTGGTGAACAGGAATGGGAGTGAGGAAGAATGCTCCCTGATCCTTTTGCAATAAATCCTTTTCTGTAGACTCTGATAAGACATCAAAGTAGAAAAATGTTTTTCCCTTGATAAAGAGGGTGGAATAAACTGATCCATTCAAACCAGATAGTTTCGGTCCTCAACTACACCAGTCCCCCAGAGCTTCAAGTCACCTCTGTGGACTTGAGGATTTGGTGCTGTACACTGTCCAGACTTCAAATTCTGCAACTCTTCCTGTCAGTAAGATCTCTTCTTACAGGCCCTCTCAATCAGTGATAAATGTATCACTGAACAGCCAGACATGGTAGAAGTGTCTTTTCGATTATAATTGGACCGATGGCATGTTATAACAGAAACCAGCAGGCTGTTTGGAAATCCACTTAGGCGCCAGGATGACCTAGGCCCTTTGCTTCATCAGCATCCTCTAGGTAAGCATACTAATGCTGGTTGTCCAGTCTTCCAAACATCTAGCACCACAGGGACGTCTGACTTTGAACG